AATTTATTAAACATTAGCCAGATGTCTGGCATTGCATTCCACATCCTCAAGATATTTTATTTACTCTCCCATCAACTCTACCAAGAGGCAACTATTGCCCCTCGTCACAAAGGGGGAACCTGTCTCAGAGGGAGTATAAATGGCAGAGAGGGGCCGGAACTCTGGGACGGCTGACCCCATTTGTGCGTCTGTGCGACCAGCTATTCTGCTATCAGTGGTTCTCAACCTTCCTAATGCCATGACCCTTTAATACAGTTCCTCATGATTGAACATAATTAAAGCATAGTGATTAATCACAAAAACAGTATGTAATTATATATGTGTTTTCCGATGGTCTTAGGCAACCCCTGTGAAAGGGTTGTTTGACCCCCAAGGGGGTCGCGACCCACAAGTTGAGAAACGCTGTCTAGATTGTCTCAGAAGATCTACCTTACTGATAGATTTTCTGACTGTGTAGCAACATGTGGGACACTAGGAACTCAGATCAGATGCGGGCATTGCCAGGGCGACGGAAGTGTGAAAGCCTCGTGTTTAAAGGTTTCCCCCTGTTACCCTCTGGTAGTTTTTGCTTCTAGCTTGGCCCTGATCTCTCACCTGTAATCTATTGCTAAAAAGAAAGCAAGCTCTTCCTCAATGTTGTGGCTTTCAGCCTGGAAACAAAGAAACCAAAGGATGAGAGAGGGAGAAAGGAGCAGACAATTTCCCAGTATCTGAGTGGCTTCAGTGTCACCTTCATGCATCCAAAGATAAGTTTTACAGAAGACACTGGTGCCATGTCGTTGACAATCCCCAGGAAAGCACCACGGGAGCCTCTGCATTGCTCACTCTGAGGTCCTGGCCGAGCAAACAGACAAAAACAGCAGCAACAGCAAAAAGAAAAACACTCAAGATGAGGACCAGAGACAAGACAAGAAGGGAGAAGGAGAGGAAGGGAAGTAGGATAGAAAGGAGGGAAGTTCAATGAATGGGATGACTGGTGAAGTTGTCTGTTTCAGTGCTCCGTAGAAAGAAACTGAGGTGTGTTGTTTTTTTCTTCCAAATTATGTAACCACAGGATAAAACCCTGTGGTTCTAAGATCTCTTTCTGATTCCTAGATCTCTTTCCAGTGAAGGGCAGAGCAGAGTTGTTTGAAACCGAAACCAAGACATGAATGAAAGTAGCCCACAGAATAAATACCTTTTTGCCCTTCTTGGGCTTGTCTGTTTAATTTCCTTCCAGGCTGCATTTCAGAACGGAGAGAGGCCAGTCATTCCACAGCTGATTCACGGCAGGCAGGAAGTGCTCCTACACTGCCTCCTTCAGGCCAAACTGCCCAGAGCCGATAGCTACTGACAAGCCAGCTTGCAACAGTTTGCCTCCGAAAGTTTGTGCCACAGGAAAATCTTGTAGTCCAAATACAGTAAAAAGCACAAGTCACATTTCTGCCCCATGCCCACCAATGTCTTAGAAACTCTCAATGTTTACATATTACCCTCCCATACCCGACATAGGTGCTGTCTGAGCATTCATTGAGGTTCAACTACACACAAGAAATTGCTTTAGATGATTTACTTATGTCATTCATTTAGTTAGCAAACGACCGTGTAAACCAGGTAGTTAAATTAATACTATTCAAATAAAGAGACTGACACTTGGGTTAAGAAACAGGCCCATGTTCACATAGATATTTAAGTGGCACAATCAGGATTGAAATCCACACTGAGGAATCTCAAAATCCATAACGTTCCCCCCTAGGCCACATTGCGTGGCTTTGCAGTTTCTTTGTATGCATCTCGATCTGAGAACTAGCCACAGGTTTCTTAGAAACAATTTGCTTCTGCCTAAGCTTCCCCTAATGGACCATCCAAGAAGTCGGCTGTCGTCGTCTCTCTGAGTTCAGCAGCATTGGGAGTCCCCGGACCCCTGCAGGACTGCAATTATGTCAGGGCTTCTGTAAGCAATTTGTCACTTGAACACTGCCCTGGCGAGACTTATAAACAGCCCTAGAACTCCAAATTTTGCCTCTGTTCCTCCATCCAGCGATTTTAAACCGGTGTGCTGCAATAATTTTTAAAACATGCAATATCTGACTATTTAGTCTAGGGCACTGACCTCGTTTCCCTTAGACTGTCAAATAAAAAATGACAACAGCCAACACAACCATAGCTGTCTGGTGTGAATGAATCAAAATTATACTATTTTTTTGTCAGATGGGCAGAAAATATATCTTTTTGGTGTGGTGCAGAAGTTTAGTAATTAATGTGTGCTATGAGATGAAAAGGGTTGAAAATTGCTGCTCTAATGTACTGGATGAGAGATTTCTTTTTTCCCCCCCCCTTTTTTGTGCAATTAAAAAATTCTTTAGCTTTTGATATTTTTTAAAATGCTAGATTATAATCCTTTTTTTCTTTGCTTGATGACATCAGTCCATATGATTGGAGTGTTTTATATGAAAAGAAAAGGGTTAATTAATGTCATGTTTAGATATCTTTTCACAACTAAATCTTCAGAATTATATACATATATATTTTTTTTTCCATGGCAGAGAGTGGAGGGTATTGGGAAAGGCTACTATTGACATTAAGCTTCATGGTGATACTCTGAAAATTATAAAATACTGTATAAATGTTATGCAGTTTTATTGTAATTATTATTCTATGGGAAGAACAACTGGGAGACGTTCAAGAAAATCAGTTCTCAAATGTCTCCCATCTCTAACTTTCTTGAACGTCTTCCATCTCAAACAATTTGGCTCTTGACCAAGTTGTTCATGGCAAAATGTCTCGGTTGTCAAACAAAACTTTGGTCCTCGTACCAACAAAACTTTCATGCTGATACTTGTGTGACAAAAGAGAGAATGTGCGAGTACTAGTCAGTTTACTGCTAAACATGGTGTTGTTAACATCTCAGGAAATTGTGCTGTGAATATATTTGTGTTGGTCTGGAATGAATTAATTCAATTTACATTATTTCCAATGGGAAAAAAATGATTCCATTTTCGAACAGCCTTCTAGAATGAAGTAAGTTTGAGAACCAAGGTTCCACTGTAATTGGATTCTTTTTAAAAAGTTTTGAACATGCCAGTTTCAAACTTCATGAAGTTTTCACAATCAGACGAGTAACAAAAACATAAGCCTCAGCTGCTTTTCCCCACATTGCTCACCCACTGCAAATGGGTTGCCACCTTCCTCATCTCTATAATCAGCTTTGACTGCTGTGTTTTTTTATTAGAAGCCACTGGGTTCAGGAGGGCAGGGCAAAGCAGCAATGTAACACTACGTGGTTAAAAAATTGAACACAAGTGTGTCTAGATCCTGAGAAAGGGAGAAAAACAGATAGGTCAGTGGTTCTCAACCTTCCTAATGCTGCGACCCTTTAATACAGTTCCTCATGTTGTGGTGACCCCCAACCATAAAATTATTTTCGTTGCTACTTCATAACTGTAATTTTGCTACTGTTATGAATCGTCATGTAAATATCTGATATGCAGGATGTATTTTCATTGTTACAAATTGAACATAATTAAAGCATAGTGATTAATCACAAAAACAATATGTCATTATATATGTGTTTTCCGATGGTCTTAGGCGACCCCTGTGAAAGGGTTATTCAATCCCCAAAGGGTCGCGACCCACAGGTTGAGAACCGCTGAGATAGGTGCTCTCATATCAAAGGTGCTTTCTCACGTGTAACTTACAAAAGAGAGACTTCTTTTTTTAAGGCCATTAAATGACTACAGAAACTAACAAAAGCATCGTGAGCATATAATTTCCTCTGTTGCTATGGCCCAGGATTGTGTGAATGGTTGGAATGAAGGGAAATGAAAACCGCAGGAGGAATGAGATGGTGATACTCAAGAGAGAATGACCATACAATTTCTTTATTATTATTAAAACACTCTTGTTCCTATCACAATAGCTTGCATTTTTGTGTTTGCCCCTTTCTTTCTTTTGAAAACAGTATTTCCAGGAGCATCTCCTAATTCTTTTTTCGTTCTAAATGTTGAAGAAAGCCATGAAACATGCAGAGTTCTTCAGGGCAACTGCTGAAAAGTCAGTTAGGAAAAGATCTTTTCAGTAAATAAACGACTCAGGAAGATGAAAGGAAACAGAAGAGCTTTATTGAAGTCCTCCGAATAAAAGTTCGGAGATGAGAAAAAAGAACTTTAAACCCATGAATAAGAAATTTGAAATAGGTAGTCAGGTATGATACCCGACGTGTAAGAACAAGCAAGCAGACTGAGAAACGTTTCCCCATGGAAGGAACATCGTCTCTCTCTGTCCGCAGCATCAGCTTTATTGCCCAAGTCAGTGCGTCACAAATGTGTCCCCCGGAATAGCCCAGAAAGTGGAGCCAGCATGGACCTGCGCACAGTGTTCTGCCACGTGGCCTCACAACTTGATGTCAGCAAACAGTCTTCTGAAGGATCGTGTTGTATATGAACGGTTCATACAAATTCAGCGTTCCATTCCACAATATAGGTCTTGTCTTAATACAAAATATTTCTCCCAAAATTTTGAGTAAAACTGATGCTTTGAAAAGATTATTGTATCCACCTATGATTTTTCCTACAGGGCGCCTGGACTATGAGAATCCCAGTTTAGACACACATTCTAAGTGGATTATTTAATACTAGAGTCCCCGTGCATGAAATTCATGCATTTTGGGGATTCCCTCACCCTGGCCTGTGCCCTCTCACAGTTCAGGAGACCTCAGGGGATGTCTGACTGACAGCTTAGGTCCACTCCCCAGAGAGAGCGGGCCTAAGCAGGGAGTTGGACATTCTTAGCACTGCCTCAGAGGCGGGAGAGGCTCCCACTACTGCAGCTGTGCTCGCCAGCCATGAGCCCGGCTCAGGGCTTCTGGCTGAGCAGCGCTCCCCCTGTAGGAGCACACTGACCACCAGGGGGCAGCTCCTGCATTGAGCGCCTGCTCCCTAGTGGTCAGTGTGCATCATAGTGACCAGTCTTTCTGCTGTTTGGTTGATTTGCATATTAGCCTTTTATTATATAGGATCATCTCTACTCAAAACTCAAGCATCTAAAGTTAAATAAGATGGAGAACCACACAAATGAAAGAAACCTGCTCACAAGTGGCAAACTGATTTGTGTGTGCTTAATGACTTCTGCTCTAACATCTAAAAAGCATTACTAAGCGATCAGCAAGAGGAAAAAAAAAAGAAGCAAGTTGGCCTCACAAACCATGAGGTCCAGACGTCCATCATCTATATTTCTCTTTCAGCAAACCACTAACTAACAAGCCTGTCTAACATACTTCTCTTTCCAACATTTTCAAACTTCTATCATTTTCAAAAAAAAGTCTTTTTCTTTGCTTTCTCTAGCCAGCCATTGCTAGCAAAGCACTCCTGACCTTCTAGCAAAAATGCTCTGAAATGTCAGTCTGTTACATAAAAAGACCAATGTAATAAACTTAAGTCTTTCTCTTCACATTAAACAGGAAATCATGCTGAAATAAAACAATACCTAGATGGGTGGAGAAACTTAAAGTGATTACATTTCCACTCACAGCAGCAGGAGACACTCCCCTCCCCACGTCACACAATCCCTTCACTCCATCTTCATGCTTAAAAGAAAACCACACTTAGTGTCAGAAACATGGCTTTGGAAGGCAAGCACTATGAATGAGTCAGCACCTGTACTCTTGCCCCTGACCTTTGACCCTGCAGTTCCCTGCTTGTATGTCCAGATCCTCTGCTGAATGTTGAGATCCTGGAGGGCAGGAGTCCTTGCTTCGGGCTCATCTCTGCATCTCCAGTCTCTGGCTCAGTGAGAGTGTGTTGAAATGTCCATTTCTGACTATTAAGTGGACTGGCCTTTGTTTTTCATGTCTAAGTTGAATAAAAGATCTCCCTGTTTGGACTACGTTCACATGTTTTCTTTGCTAAGAACAAGGTGAGGAGTTCGGTGTGGGTACAGGAGTGTGCAAAACCAGCAACAGTAATAATCTGCCAAGTGGGAGTGGGGGAAAGGCGCCAAGATTAAGAGGCGGATCACAAAGCCTGCTATTTTGCCAAATGAACAGTAATGTAAACTTATCACTGATAAGGGAGATTGGTTGTAGGAAACTCTGGGTCCCATTTCAAATGAGATAATATAGGAACATTTTACAAAAATATATCAGGCACCTAGTAAGAGCACCTACAGTAATCCTGTTAGTTATTATTGTTCTGTCTGTACCTTCTGGATACATTCTTGCTTTGCTTCTTTATCTCCCCTCACCATGAAACCCTACGATCAATGACATGACATAGTGTTTGTAAAGTGTTTTGAAATCCCTGAAATGTTATAATCAACCCAAGTACCATTTTATTTATGTAAACGGTGTCTACCCGGCGAGTCCACTTAAATATCTGGGATTGGGAACCTCTGTCTCATCAGGCTTAATAAATGATTCCCTCTGGCTCTAAAAGCAAGTACTTTTTCAATGACAATGGAAGGGAAAGCAGAGGAATTACTCTGTGACATCTGTTGTGTAACGTTCTTCGGATGGCGCATCTCGATAAATGCATGAGAGTCCTTGGAGAGTTACTGCACACAGTGAAGAGAGAGTGGTAAAAATCCCAGTATCTCTGAAAAGGAAGGGAAGGCAGGTGACAGTCAGAAAAGTCCCACCACTGCCATCCAAAGAAATCAACAGTGATGATTTTAGGCCCGATTTTCTACCTAATGGCAGCTTTCTAGGGAAGTAAGACAAATACTTCCTTGTACTTGCATTGCGGTCTGGAAGTACTTTACAGTGAAAACCAGAGGAAGTGAATTGATTCTTTACCTCCAAGTCATCATCAGGGATAGCCCGTTTCCACTTTACAGTCCACTTGATGTGTTCGTAGGCATTGACTACAACTTCGATTGCTTTGGGATAGGAATGGCAAGCCTGTATCACCTGCAGATGAAGCAGAGTTTCGTTTATTTAATGCACATAGATGACTCAGTCATTCCACTCACAGAGACTTCATGAATGTATTGACCTATTGGGCTCCTTGGAATGCTGCAGTGCTTTTGAGAAGTCTCATGACTTTGAGTATCCACACACTGCCAGCCTCCATGGCGGATGGATTAATTAAATCAGACTAATTTCCTTCACCATCCAGAAGTAAGTGAAAAAAGAAGTTCTAACCAAGAAGGTGGGAGCCTGCTGAGATGCATGCCCTGCCCTTACAGCCCTCACACCTCCCAACAGCTGCTGTGACCATCAGAAGGCCTGTCGCTCCTTTCTGCCAAGATGGCCCTATTACTGGAAATCCTTTGGTGTGGGCTATTTTCATGTCAAAGTGACCCAGCTGGCTCTTCAATGTGACCCACAACTGGGCCACAGGAAACCTGTGTCTCTGTCCTATCAGCAGCAGCAACAGCACCCGTGATTCCCAATTTTGTCACCTTCATTTCCTTTGCCACCAAGCAAGCAGCTTCTGCCACGGACTTTCTCCTTTACATTTTCTCATCATGAGTTATACATCAATCTCATTTTCCCCTTGAACATATCAAGCTCTTTGCCGAGTTCCCTGAAAGCCTCTCTCACTGGAGGTGAGATGAGGAGGAAGCCCCCCAACCCTACCATTGTAAGGAAGGCATGCCTCTGCACTGAACTTTCTCCAAAGAAATGTCTCCCTTATTTCCCAGTCCTTCTCAATCTCAACCTATTGTCCTTGGGAAAGAAGTCACAAAACTAGTTTTCCTGACCTCCTTTACCAGTCCCTCATAGGTGGTCTGGTATTGCATTTTTCAATGTGCTAGTAAATACCTAACGTCCTGGGTCCCTGGGCAAAACTGCGACAGAGAGATTGTAATTTTAATACCGGTGTGTGTGTGTGTGTGTGTGTGTGTGTGTATGTGTCCAGATCACCTGATTGGAGGTCAGTCTGAATGGAGGGTCCATGTCGGAAAGCAAAAGATAAGAGCAGGTAAGATGGAGTCAGTGGACAGTACATCTGGAATGCCAGTCTGAGGAGCTAGGATTGACTTAACAGGCAATAGGAGGAGGTTATTACATATTCTTGACAAAAAAGGGTTATATTCAACCAATTCATTGCATTGGGAAGCCTTCTTGGGCACTAGGTTAGCACTATGACACTATTCTGAAAAGTTCATGACCTGCTTTTTGTCATTAAGGAGTTTGCAACCTACTTGAGGAGAAAAGATATAGGTATTTGAAGTCGGAGAGCAATATAAGCCAGTAAATAATAAGGGACTATGATGAAGATCATCAAGTGTCCCTTGAGCACCATGAGCAAAGCACCCAATGGCTTCTCAGCTGGTCTCACTGTTAATCACGAGAATGAAGGGTAAGTGAAACTTTGAGAAAGAATCGGGGCTTAATGACTAATCAGATATTGGGAATAAAGAATGCAACTTTGACATTTGAGATCAAGGAATGAGGAAATTGGAAGGTCAGACTTATTTGGAGATGGGCAGATGAGAAGCAGGAGAATATTTCATATGCAATGTCTTCATGGCAATCAAAAATGTACATGGTAGATGATCCTATCTATATAGGCAAGGTGAAGATCGAGACTTTTATACCATCAGAGAATGTGTTGGCTAAACCTATGATGCTCAATAATACTACACATGGGTATAAAAGGAAAAGATAAAGGACCACGGTATGAGGAATCTGAAGGTAGCAACATGAGGTCACTGAGTGCATGGTTGGGAAGAAATGTGCAGTAACATCATTACATACTATTTAGACACAATAGATGCAAATAACATCAACAGTATAGATAATTAGGAGCTAAAGGGTTTTGAATATTTATTACCTTTGTTTTTAGTATACTTTATGTGTTGGCTTTTATGATTTAAGTTTGCACAATGGCTGCGTTTAACAATAAGCTTACAAAATTTAACCACCAGCTCTCATGAGCTACTGTGAGCCAATGCCAGGATACAGCTGCTTTTGGTTGTGCCTGTCTTTAAGAAGCACAGTCATAAGCCATTGAAACTAAATGTATATATTAAAGCTCCAAACCAGGGAAGGCATTAGAATCATCCTGTCCAGTGGCTAGGTCCAAATAAGCACTGCCAGAGGTTAAAACCAACAGTAGTTAGCATAAATGCAAAAAGTGGAAGGCCAATGGACTTTGATATTCAGCAGGGCTGAAGACCAGCATAATATTGCCCTGCTGTGGACTCAGTGGCTGAAGGCAATTCTCTAACCTGACAATCCTTTTAATGTTTACCAAACTTTACCTTTGATATGCCTGTATGCATTCTTAAAGGGAAAATGTGTATTCAAGTGAATAAAAGCTGACAGGTCCAGGGTTTCAGAGAGCTTCTCCACTAGAGAGATTTCCAGCCTGGCCCCCCCATCCCTTCTAAATCAGTGGTTCTCAACCTTCCTAATGCCACGACCCTTTAATACAGTTCCTCATGTTGTGGTGACCCCCAATTTCATTGTTACAAATTGAACATAATTAAAGCATAGTGATTCATCACAAAAACAATATGTAATTATATATGTGTTTTCCGATGGTCTTAGGTGACCCCTGTGAAAGGGTCGTTCAACCCCCAAAGGGGTCACGACCCACAGGTTGAGAACCACTGTTCTAAATTCATATTTCTTGTCTAGTGTTTTCATTTGTGTGCAGCCCCTTCTCCAGATCCTAAACCCTGGCCGTAAATGGATGCAGCAAAGCACAACATGTTTAATGAGTGGTTCCATTCACATACGTATTCTGGGCACAGAGCACAGAGCTAAGCTGCTGAACATGGCTTTTTCAGCCAGGTCTAAACAAATAAAGAACAATCCGCTACCATCAACCCATAAGGGGGGGATGCAGGTGGGCTCGAGCCAGAGATCCATTGCTATGGGACTTCCGAAGAAACAGTATTTCTGAGTCTACAGAAAGTATAACTCAAGGATTTCTATCTGGGTACATGGCTGTCAGGGTAGTCAGGTAATTGTCCAGGACCTTGATCTTGGAAAACTGAGGCAAATAGGCCTGATTTTTTTTTTCTGCAGCTGAGATGAGGATGGCATAGATGTAGCTCCATGCAAAAGAGATAGAGAAAACATAGGCTGACTAATTGCTTTAAACACTAGCTATAAACTACCATCATAGTATCATAGCATGGTAGGGTTGCCAGGAGCCCTAGAGATTATCCAGTCCCCCTAATTTAGAGATAAAGACATTGAAACCCAGAGAGGTCCACATTAAAAAGAAGGGTAGCCTTGTGTTTTCTTCGTCTGAGCTTAGTTCTCTTTCAAGTACATTCTCACGGTCTTATTTTAATCCTTAGGTAATGGCTGCTGAAATAAATGGTTTAAGGACACAAATCCCATTGCAGAGACATTTTAAAACAAGAGAGACTCTCTTCCATAATTATTTTAGGTTGGACCCTTGTGACTACAAAGATGTTGCTAGTGATATAAAAATAACATCCATCCAGACCTCCGGACACATTGTTCTCTAAAGACCTCCAGATGCATTCCTTCTGGAAGGATGAGCCATGGTGAGAAGTATGCTGGTAATTACTTGGTAACCTAAAATAAAGATTTAAACTTAAGAGTTACCAGTACAGGGATGATAGCTGAAATTAATCCAAGGCCTGAATCAAGCATATACTTATACTGAAATTATAAAAACAAAAAAAGCATGAAGAAGTCAGAAAGTTTATAATGAGGCTCTGCACATGGCTTAGTTGTCCACTCAGAAAACTGACCTCTATGCTCTGCATCAGTTTCCCAGGCCACACTCATTCTTCGTGGAAGCCACACTGGCTTTATTTAAAGACACAGTGCCCACACACCCAACACAGGTACCTTGTCCCTAGGAATTCCTCACCTCACCCTTCTTGCCAACACTGAGGACACAGAACAGATGTGGATGAAAGTTACTTTCCCCTTACAACATAGTACCTACTTCTCAACTAGGGTTTCCAGATTTAGCATATAAAAATAGCAAAGGTTGTCCAATTAAATTTGAATTTCAGATAGACAACAAATAATTTTTAGTATACATATACCCAAAATGTTGCATGGTCCGCATTTACATTAAAAATTACTTATAATTTATCTGAAATTCAGATTTAACTGAGCATCCTGTTTTTTATCGGGCAACCCTATTCCCAGCCCCTATTCAGAAAACGTTCAGACTAAGTTATGGATACAGGAGCGGACTTCATTCACAGGTCAGGAGCCTCACTTCACACATTTGGTGCTTCAATTTGCACCTGGCCTGCTCCCATATATCACAAGGAGATAACTTCTCACTTTTCATTAAAGTAGAAAAAAATAAATCAAATAGTTCTTAACCTTCAGTCTTTAGATGCACAGACTCCAAAGCTCCCACTGCTGTCATTAGGCTTTGCTGACACGGATGGCTAAGTTTTCTGCTGACAGAAGACAGGGCCCGCAGCGGGAAAGGCTCCTTTAGCCTGACAACCCTCCAGCTATCTTCACCGGCAGGTCGGGCTTCTTCCAGGTCTAAGACAGCTAGGCACACCTTCTTCAGGCCTCGGTAATTATTTCACAAAGCAATAACAACAACACAAAAGACCCTTAAGGGACAGCAAACTCTAAATCATCACTAGATGCTGACTCCTGGGAACCTTGACCATCACAAGGACTGGTCTGGACCTAGAAGTGAGAAGCTTCTGCTGCCTTTTTCCTGTCTGAGAAACAGAAGATGCCCCCGTGAACTTCACCTTCTGTGTGTCTCTAGTCTTCCTTCATGGAAGAACAATTGGTCAAAAAAGCTCTTTCTTCAGTGGTGGCAACTAGAGAGACTTTTAGATATTTTTTGCCTCATCATTCTACACCTAAAAGCATAGATTACAGAATAGATTCGAGATAAATCTCCTTGTCTCCCTTCCAAGGCAAGTGGCACCTCTTAAGCCACTTCAGCAGAAAAATTCTAAAGCTACTTCTACCTTTTTATGTTAATATAGTTGTGTGCAGAAAGGTACTTAATAATCAAAGAGACGTCTTGTGCCCTGGGCGTCGTACACAGCACTGTTCAACAGCAGAAATCATCCTCACCTCCCCCAAACCCTCACATTCCTTTCCCTCCCCTAGAAAAATGTCTTTCTTGCCCTACCAGAAAACCCAATCTTGGCTCCCTGGGGTGTCACTGCTTTCTGAATTATGCTGAGAGAAAAAAATCAAATGTCCTTTTGTACCCTGGAAAGCAATTGCAGACCATATAATTCTTTCCCCCACCTCATGTAATTTATACATAGGCTTTCGGTGAAATACACCCTCTGCAAATGTGCTTTGTATTTGGAAGACAGCATCTTCAGCTCTGACCTTGTTCCTTGTAAATAAGGAAACAGAATTCCCCATCCACAGGAGAACAAATCACTTTATCTTCTGTATAAATGAGTCAGTCATTTACTTGTTGTAAAGATGGCATTCTCTTTGGAAAGTTGGGCTGGGTAGTAGTTGTTCTAAATCACTGAAGAATCTGCATAGTAAATTGAATAGTTTTTCTTCAGTTTTCCTTTGGAAGGGGGCCAGTCCTCTTATACTGTTGGGGAGGGACAAAATGTTTATAATACCAGTCATCCACCAGTGGCCAACTCTATCCTAAATCACTTTAGTGTATGGCCAAACTGGAAGAACTCAGAAGAGCAAAACAGAACTGAATAAGAACATGCTCATGGTGGATAAAGAGTTCCTTGGCACACATAATTATGTGCCTGTTTTACAGGCTAGTGGAGCCATCAAGACTAAAGCAAAGACTCTTTCACTGGACCAAGTGTTCACTTTGGGAAGAGGAGGAAAGGAAACGATTTCGTTGACTCACACACTCCTTAGACAATCCTGAAAAGTTGATATTTTTTACCTTCATTTTTCAGATGAGAACATCGGAATCTAAGAGATTGAGGAGCTTGTTCAGAAACCATACAGCAAGTAAATGGCCACGCCAAAACTCATGGCCCTGATGACTAAGCTGCTGCCCCTAATCCTTCTTGTTGGTCCCTCTCAGGGAACTGCTTTTGTGAAGAGGATCTGGGGCCTTCCTCACATTCACAAGACTTCTTTCTGGAGGACAGAAACTCTGCTTAAAGGCTCATTCTCCCTAACCTGGCTCTTGAAGGAGAATGCAGCAAGTAAATGGCCACGCCAAAACTCATGGCCCTGATGACTAAGCTGCTGCCCCTAATCCTTCTTGTTGGTCCCTCTCAGGGAACTGCTTTTGTGAAGAGGATCTGGGGCCTTCCTCACATTCACAAGACTTCTTTCTGGAGGACAGAAACTCTGCTTAAAGGATCATTCTCCCTAACCTGGCTCTTGAAGAATAAGGAGAGGGTCTTTTAGTTTCTCGGAGACCTGTTTCATCTACAATTAGCCAGCAGTGAGTTTCAGAATAAAGCTCAGCTTTTAGTCTCTAGACAGTCTCATATTTTGTCTCTCCTGGTTGGAAAGGCCCCTGTGAGTAAACCAAACCCAGGAGCACCTATTCCACTACTCAGTGGACATGTACTAATAACAATACTTAAAGCCGTCATTTGTTCACTGCACCTGGCTTCCGATACCATAGTCATGATGAAGACTCCCAAGTTTGTACCTCTGGCCAGGACCTTTCCCTGAACAACAGACGCCTACATCAAACTGTCTACCTGACATCTCCACCTAGATGAATAGTAGGTATCTCAAGCAAAATATAACCCCTGATCCTCTCTTCAAATTCAGCTCCACCTGCCTTGCTTCTATCTCAGGAAATGGCCCCTTGATTCTTTCTATTCCTTGGGCCAAGTCCTTGAAGTTATCCTTGACGCCTCTCTATTCCTGACGGCCCACAAATAATCAACTAGCAAAACTCATTGACTCCCTCTTCAAAACATGCCCTGAATCTGACCATTTCTTAGCACATTCACTATTTCCACTGTGGGTCTAAGCCACCCACACTCTTACCTAGATTATTGCAGTACTGTTGACCGCCCCCCCCGCCCCAGAGTTATTCTCCAACAGGCTGTCAAATGGCTCCTTATGGAATATAAATCAGACTATGCTTCCCAGCTCAAAATTCTTCAGTGATTTCTTCCCTCCTTCAAAGTGAAAAACCAAAGGTATAACCATGGCCTACAAGGCCATAAATATGGCCTGTAAACCACCCTCATGTACACCTCTCTGACTTCTCTTCCTCCTTACTCACTCCACTCCAGCCACTCTGGCTTCCTGCTTTTCCTCACACATGCTTAACTTTCTCCTACCTCAGGACCTTTGCATCTGCTTTTCCTTATACCTCAGATGGCCTTCCCCCAGTTCAGGTAGCCACATGACTTGCTCCTCCATGTCCTTATTTTCTCTAATCACCTTTGTAAAACAGCATATATGTAAACATACAGGTGGAGATGTCAGGTCATTCTTTTATTTTCCTTACCTTGCTTTATTTTTCTCCATAGTATCGAACAGATCAGAGTATATTTATTTGTTTGTTATTTTGTTTTGTTTTTTCCTATTTCCCACTAGAGAGTATATTCCATGAAGGCCTTTTTTTGTTTTGTTATTGCTGTTGTTTATTGCTTTATCTCCAGCTCCTGGAACAATGCCTGGCACATAGTAGGTACTCAGTGAATATTTCTTAAAATAAAATGAATAAACTTGACCACTTACTCTCTGTGACTTTAGGAAAATATCTCAATGCTATTACCTTTTAAATGAACGTAATGCCCATGCCTCTCTCAGAGGTTATTATAAAAATAAAATGAAATCTATAACAAGCCAATTGAGAACTCAACAAAGGACATTACCATAACATTATTTTTACTTTTTTATTCCTTTTCATCATAATCATTTGAAATTTTCTCTAAAAAATTATTAAGTGCCAGAACATTGTATTGCATATAATTCTAAAGGGAAAATGACTTAATTGTCCATTGAAATACTGACAAGAAATAAATCCCTTATGAGATCACAAAATTTCCTGACATCATATCTACAGCTGAACATTCCCTGGGTTGTCCATCTGGAATGTGCCCTGACTGGGTACACTCCCCTTAAATTCTTTAGCGGAACTTTTCTTCCCATTGAGCCTCACAGTGCAGGACTTCAGATCAGTCTCTGATACTTTAGCAATGGGGGAAGTAGAACTTGGCTGTGAACTTAGTAAACTGTCAGCTGGCTTTCTGTGATCCTACATTATTTAGTTGGTTTATACCTGAAACTCCGCTGCTTCTTGTTAATTTTTTTTTAGGATGAGTGAGATCCTAGGTATGGTGTTATTTGGTTGATTTTAAAGTGAAGTGCATTTTGGTTTCCAAGTTAATTACTGTCAGCAGCCTCATTCCTCTACGGTCATTTACTACGGCATATTAAAATTGTCTCTTTACGTGTTTGTCTCTCCCACTGGATCCTAAGCTACCTGAAAGCAGGTGCTATGTCTTAGTCATATCAGCATTGCTAACGTCTGGCCTCTGCTAGCCCACTGGAGATTATCAATAGATATTTTTTAAAACAAAGTCTATGCAGTGTGATATTGCAAGAACAGACGCTAGACCAAATGATGTAAGGTTGAACCCTGGCACTGCCACTGTGAGAGATCAGGCAAATTGCTTCACCGCTCTGTGCCTCCGTTTCCTCCTTTATAGAGTCAGGACAATATTATTGTTTCTCTCATACGGTTGTGATAAGAATTCAATTTAAAAATGCAAACTGCTTATAACAGTGTGCTTAATAAATTGAATTCACTCTATATAATAAATATAATTATTAGGACTCAGTAAACATTAGCTTTCACTAAATGCAAAATTGAGTGGCCCTTTCACGCCACTTAATTCCAAAGCAGTTTCAGGCATCTTTAGATCAGACATCCCGCTCAAGAGATAGCGAGTGTACGCCTGTCTGACCCCATTCACCTCTCCTGCAATCTTAAAGTGGCTTCTGATCTTTCTCAATTCAGTCCCTCAGGAAGCTACAGCCAGTTCACTGGTGTTCACCCAAGACATGGAAGATTATCTGCCCCTCTTCTGCTCATTGCCTGCTCTCCTTACATGTGCAAAGGGAAGGTCAGGTAGAGGATCAGAAGTAGTTAACCCAAAGATGCCAGCCTCGAGCTTGAGTCGCTTGGGGGAGGGGACACAGCCTCACCTTATGGAACTGTGGAGGGTATATGCGAGCAGCCCCATGGTTCAGTAGCAGCTGGTAGCAGATCTCAGGCTGGGCGGCAGGCCGCACAGAGGTGACCTTCAGCACGTACTGGATGGCCGCACAGCCATTGATGTCCATGAGGTTGGCCTCAGCGCCCGCTTCCAGCATCATGTGCATGAGCACGTGGTCACAGTTCCAGGCTGCCTTGTGGAGCGGAGATTTGAAGTCATCGTCCCTGGCGTTGACCTCGGCGTGGTAGTCGAGCAGCATGCGGCAGACGAGGTGATGCTCCCTGCTGTACTCCTGCTCTTTAAAGCGGAGGGCCCAGTAGGTGGCGACAGCCAGGGGCGTCTCCATGTGGGCGTTCACACTGTCCACTACGGCCCCATGCTCCACGTAGAAGGCCACCAGCTCCGAGAGGCCGAAGTGGGCAGCTGTGTGCAAGGGGGTCTCTTCATCCTGGTTGTTGGTCTTCATGTTCACGTTCGCCCCTAGGAAGGGAGATTGAGGAAGCCGATTACTTAAACTGACGTTGACATTATACCCAAGGTTCATTAAATAGGACTTGACTGCTGCTTCCCTTTTAACCTCTGACTGCCATACATTATTATCCCGTGTGTCCCCGTTCTCTTTCTGGGCCCCATGGAAGCCACTCCTCTGACACAACAGTGCCATCTGCTGGACAAGCTGCAAATGCACTAGGGTGGGGCGTAGGGGTAGAGCGGGGGAGTGGAGAACACAGGATTTCAGGCTGTTGGTTGAGTGTTAGTTCTTACAAGTGGTCTCCATAACTAATCGCTTTTTATCAGTAAAATAGCAAACATCACTGAAAGTTTATACCGCAATCTTTGAAACTCATACAAGTAGTTTTAAAAATCATCAGTTTCTTTGAATGTTTCACAAAATCCTGTTTTTCTTCTTTCAAAGCAGAAAAGCCTGAAAGTTTGGTCCAGACAAACTTTATTTATTTACTTATTTATTTTTCTAAGTGTGGCAAGGCTGCTAACTTTATATATCTAATCAATATATTATTGATTTTTTTACAGAGAGGAAGGGAGAGGGATAGAGAGTTAGAAACATCAATCAGCTTCCTCCTGCACATCTCCTACTGGGGATGTGCCCGCAACCAAGGTACATGCCCTTGACCGGAATCAAACCTGGGACCTTTCAGTCTGCAGGCCGAGGCTCTATCCACTGAGCCAAACCGGTTAGGGCAAGGTAAACTTTAGTGGCGTGTTTGACAGACAGTACTAGACCCGCCCAAGGCTGTGAGGCTCTCTTGGAACACAGTGGGGGAAAAACAGCCACCACAAATACTTTGACCTCCAAACTAGCCTTAAGGTCATGTTTTACATTGAAAGGGGTGGAAGCCAGTAGTCTAACGGAAATACCCATTGAAAGGAAGGCAAGCCCAGTGGTGAGGCTTGGTGGGTGAGCATCGACCTAAGAACCAGGTCACTGGTAGATTCCCAGTCAGGTCACATGCCTGGGTTTCTGGCTTGGTCCTCTGCTGGGGGCATGCAGGAGGCAGTTGACTGATGTTTCTCATGGATGTTTCTATACCGCTCCCTTCCTCTCTCTTGAAATCAATAAAATATTTTTTTTTAAAAAAAGACCATGATTTAGCAACTGTGATGTATTTGATTTATGGGAAACAATGGCTATTAGAAATAAATTTTTAGTACTTGGAAAGTTCCTTAGGAATTATTTAATCCAACCCTATGTAACAGGCCAGGAAACTGATGTGAGTTTTATTTTTCTGAGAGGAAATATTAAGAACTAGAATGGTCAACTTGAGAAGCTGAAGTTTTTCTTCTCTGCCTAATTTAAGGTGGTGAACCAAATGACCCTTGGGGGCCTACTATATTATTGATTCTACTGGAAATTTATATAGCTACTTCAAGTATAAATCTTGATATACTTATTACTATGCCAGCAACAAATATTTATTAAGCACTTAACATGGACAATATTCTGAGCTAAAAGCTTTTCATATATCGCCTCATCAAACCTTACTAATATTTCTTTGCAATAGGTACAATTTTTACCCTAATTTTACAGCTAAAGAAATTTGTTAGGCTAATAACCACACCAAGCTAAGAAGTAAAGAGGTTGGAAAACAGATAGCCTGACTTCAAAATCTCTTACCATTGTTCTGTTCTTTGCACTTCGTTATTTTTCTAGAAAATTTTTCTGTACTTTACTCTTGATAGTGAAAACTTGAAAGTGGCACAGAAATCATGTTGCACTTTGTTAATTTAAAAAATCTGTTCTCCAAACATTGCTCCTCTCTGCCCTTTTCTGTGGCATTCTCTGCTCATATAGAACATATTTGAGAAAAGCAATGCTCCTACAAATGTGCTCAGTATTCTATACAAAATCAACCCCCCAGCGAGGTGTCGGAGGGCACATGGCTCCGTAAACTCTGAGACTGTCAGCAGCCCAACTGCAGAAAGCAGAATTATAACCAAAGATTGTCATGCACGGAGCCAGCTGTGTTCATCAGTATTCTGCCCCAGGGAAGTCCTGGGTCAGGCCTCCTCTTAGGTCAGCCCTTCTTTTCTCTGGAGTGCGAAGCAATGAATAAGAATGTCTTCCCAGAAGCCTTATTCCGGGTCACTGGAGAGTTTCCAGTAAGGAAGGGAATCAAAGGGTCAGGATGAAAATTTTACGGGCCAAATCGGAACAAACCACATCCTTTATTTTTAAATGTACTTGGACATTTATAATTGATCCTTGACCTCTTGGTACAACTCGACAGGCTGCGCAGTTTCCCTTTCTGAATAGAGGAACCTTATTTTTATAGTATTTGAATTGTGTCTTTGAGCGCTTTATATTTCCAGGGAATATGTAAAGTGGGATGATTTGACTACTTTTTAGTTCTAGATTTTTGGGAAATTTAAAAAAATATATTGTTAATGCAGAAAAACAATGTATTCGTGTCCTAGAACTGTTGTAACAAAGTACCACACACTAGGTAGCTTATTTCATGGTTCTAGAGACTAGAAGTTCGAAATTAAGATGTGGACAGGGCTGGTCCTTTCTGTCTCCTTCTGGAGGCTTTAAGGGAGAATCTGTCTCATGCCTTCTCCTAGCTTGTGGTGACAGCAGGCAATCCTTGGTGTTCGTTGGCTTGTAGATGTCGCTCCAAGGTCTGCCTCCATCTTCACATGGTGTTCTGTGTCTCTCTGTTCACAGGTCTGTCTTCTTATAAGGACACAAGTCATACTGCAACAGGGGCCCATCTTGCTCCCATTCATCTTAACTAGTTACATCTGCAACAACCCTATCTTCACATTCTGAAGTATTAGGGATTAGGACTTCAATATACCTTCTTTTTGAGAGGGAGAGAGTACACAATTCAACCCATAACATATAACATGCATTACATAATATATAAAAAAATATATATGTGCAGTTTAAAAATATTGTAAATAAAGCCATCTCCCATGTAATCATATCCCAGCTCAAGAAATCAAACAGAAGAGGAAGAAGAAGAAGAAAGAAGAAGA